GTCGCGGAAAATATAACACGCAGCCACGTATATCTTCACCCCTACAATATGATTTCATGAATATTTCAGGTCTAAATGTTGCAATTGCTCGTCTTCATTTCGCGTGGTTTTGCGTTATAGTGAATATATAATTGCTTCCCACAATATGGTGCATAACCATCCATGCAGCAGGGTGTACATGCAGAATGACCCATGGTATAGACGACTAGCAGTTGAAGAGAAAGAAAATATTGAACCTCTTCTTCAGCAATCCCACTCATCCGATGTAACAATAATGCATGTTAAGGAGAAGTACCACAAGGATATAACTCGCATTGACGTTAAAAATTTGAAAGCCGCAGTTAATAAAGGTAACGTTGACGTACTTGTTACATACCTAAGGTATTTCGAGTCGTCGTGACATTTTTGAATTCCTAAAATCCCGTGGGAAGTTAATGGAGTATTATTCCGATGAACCGATCAGGAATTCACTAACAAGAATTTGTTTTGCAACTTATGAGCAAATGGAATTGTATAAACAGTTCCCTGAAGTTGTTGGTATCGACTCGACGTATAATACAAATAAGGGGAAGTAAGTTTACCAATTCATTAATCAACGTGCAGGTATTCTTTGTTCCAGTTACTTGTGACGGATAATTTCGGTCGTGGACGACCAGTTTTATTTGCGTGGACTAGAAAAGAATTCAAACGAGATGTAGTTTGGATATTAGACTGTTTTCGTGGAATAATGGAAGACACCTCCAAAACAGAATCTTTCATTATGGATTGTGCGCAAGCTGAAATAGCAGCCGTCAAGTTAACGCACAGACAAGCGCACATTGTTTTGTGTTTTTTCCATGTTTGCAGAGCATTCTGTCGGAAAGTAAGCTTTTCAAAGCATACTTTACATTTTATTCGTAGACAAGAAATCCCATTGTGAAGAATTATTTATGCCGTCTAGTGCAGTGTAAAAGGAGATCAGAGTAATGCCTCTAATGTTCTCATTTTCCAGATTTAATTTCTACTTCAGAGTTATTAGCAGATTGGATGCTACTGTCAGTCAATATCTACAACGTCGTTGGATGCATCGACGAGAATTGTGGGCAGCATGTTTCAGAGACAACGTGCTGACTTTTGGGAATGATACAAATAATCGCGTCGAGAGTTCCCACAAGCAAATGAAACGTTACTTACAAAGATCAGATAGTTTGCATAAAAGTATGCTGAAGGTGTTTAAATGGTATCAACAAAGTTTTGCAAGGATACAGCAGGAGGCGACTATTGCTCAGTCGCAATGCTTCACCTATCCCTGTTCACAACGTCTACTCCCAATTATACGATTGCTGACGCCATACGCTGCGAGGAAGGTTATCCGTGAATACGAAAGGCGACGATGGGCTGTTGTTGAGGTTGAATCCTTCGATTATGTATTCTTCCAAGACAACGGGAATCGAGTGGAGGTGAATCTGAGTGCTTGCACCTGCACGTGCGTTACATTTCAGACCTGTCGGTACCCCTGCAGACACTTGCTTTTGGTCCATTTCAGAAAGCCATATTTCACAGGTATATTTGCGTTTTTATGACTCCGTTTTTAATATATGTCGACCGAAACTCGATTAATTATTGTTCTTCTATACGGAAAGTTGTAATTTTCATTACCGTATTCGTGTGTACGATGCCTTAACTGGAAACAGGACACAAGCACTACCATCATTGCACCTGTAATAATCAGTTCATAGTTATCTTAACGTTTTTTGTTCCACCTTTTGTAGTTAACCATGTGATGCATAATTGTAAACAATGGACGTGGTCACACAACTTGTTCGCATCTCAAAGTACGTCAGCAGTTATCCCTCCAAATCAACGTGACATATTCATTACCAAAAATAGGATTATCATTGCGGGCATGAAGAGACTTAGTGACAAATTTGGAGAAGTGTTTGCCAATACTTATGCAGACGGAGTAATCGCAGGAATCAATCGTGTTCTTAATATGTAAATAAACTAGATTTGTACAATAATGAAAATAAAATTTTCATGTAAATTTTGTTGTCTTTCAATTCATGTGTTCACTTTGTGAGCACGGCATGTTAGACCGGTGCTCTCTAGGACTTTAACTACTAACAATACGTAAGAGTAATTGTGTAGGAACGATGTCGGTCGTCATACGTGTTAAATTATAAGTATTTTAGTGAGGTTACGTGCATACGTCTCATTGTCATATACAAGTCTTTAGGGACAAATGACGATTACTAATGTTTCACTTAAAGCGTGATGTCAATCCATATGACTAAGGCTGTTGACATGTAGCGTAAATTAAAGTCTACACCAGACGAATTATTGAATTCGTTGAGCTTTAGCAATCGTATTTAGATTTAGCTTACACTAAAATATGCCACCAATTACTTCGTCAGTTCTTATTAATAAGTCATGTCTGCATCTAGTCATCATGACAAATATATCTGCACTCAGATATAGTAAGAAAGGTCTGGTAAGCAGGATATTAAATGTACTCACGTACTTTGAGATGAGAACAAGTTGTGTGAGCACGTCCATTGTTTACAATTATGCATCACATGGTTAACTACAAAAGGTGGAACAAAAAACGTTAAGATAACTATGAACTGATTATTACAGGTGCAATGATGGTAGTGCTTGTGTCCTGTTTCCAGTTAAGGCATCGTACACACGAATACGGTAATGAAAATTACAACTTTCCGTATAGAAGAACAATAATTAATCGAGTTTCGGTCGACATATATTAAAAACGGAGTCATAAAAACGCAAATATACCTGTGAAATATGGCTTTCTGAAATGGACCAAAAGCAAGTGTCTGCAGGGGTACCGACAGGTCTGAAATGTAACGCACGTGCAGGTGCAAGCACTCAGATTCACCTCCACTCGATTCCCGTTGTCTTGGAAGAATACATAATCGAAGGATTCAACCTCAACAACAGCCCATCGTCGCCTTTCGTATTCACGGATAACCTTCCTCGCAGCGTATGGCGTCAGCAATCGTATAATTGGGAGTAGACGTTGTGAACAGGGATAGGTGAAGCATTGCGACTGAGCAATAGTCGCCTCCTGCTGTATCCTTGCAAAACTTTGTTGATACCATTTAAACACCTTCAGCATACTTTTATGCAAACTATCTGATCTTTGTAAGTAACGTTTCATTTGCTTGTGGGAACTCTCGACGCGATTATTTGTATCATTCCCAAAAGTCAGCACGTTGTCTCTGAAACATGCTGCCCACAATTCTCGTCGATGCATCCAACGACGTTGTAGATATTGACTGACAGTAGCATCCAATCTGCTAATAACTCTGAAGTAGAAATTAAATCTGGAAAATGAGAACATTAGAGGCATTACTCTGATCTCCTTTTACACTGCACTAGACGGCATAAATAATTCTTCACAATGGGATTTCTTGTCTACGAATAAAATGTAAAGTATGCTTTGAAAAGCTTACTTTCCGACAGAATGCTCTGCAAACATGGAAAAAACACAAAACAATGTGCGCTTGTCTGTGCGTTAACTTGACGGCTGCTATTTCAGCTTGCGCACAATCCATAATGAAAGATTCTGTTTTGGAGGTGTCTTCCATTATTCCACGAAAACAGTCTAATATCCAAACTACATCTCGTTTGAATTCTTTTCTAGTCCACGCAAATAAAACTGGTCGTCCACGACCGAAATTATCCGTCACAAGTAACTGGAACAAAGAATACCTGCACGTTGATTAATGAATTGGTAAACTTACTTCCCCTTATTTGTATTATACGTCGAGTCGATACCAACAACTTCAGGGAACTGTTTATACAATTCCATTTGCTCATAAGTTGCAAAACAAATTCTTGTTAGTGAATTCCTGATCGGTTCATCGGAATAATACTCCATTAACTTCCCACGGGATTTTAGGAATTCAAAAATGTCACGACGACTCGAAATACCTTAGGTATGTAACAAGTACGTCAACGTTACCTTTATTAACTGCGGCTTTCAAATTTTTAACGTCAATGCGAGTTATATCCTTGTGGTACTTCTCCTTAACATGCATTATTGTTACATCGGATGAGTGGGATTGCTGAAGAAGAGGTTCAATATTTTCTTTCTCTTCAACTGCTAGTCGTCTATACCATGGGTCATTCTGCATGTACACCCTGCTGCATGGATGGTTATGCACCATATTGTGGGAAGCAATTATATATTCACTATAACGCAAAACCACGCGAAATGAAGACGAGCAATTGCAACATTTAGACCTGAAATATTCATGAAATCATATTACACTTCTTCTTACGACTTGTTTTTCAATTTCAATCCAGGTCTTGTACGATTCACTCCAAAAGTGCATTTAAAACCAACATAAGCGTACTTAAACCTGTCATCCGGTATCGTTTTGCTGCAATTATGAACATAGTGAGTGCAGGATAACTACATTGTTAGCATTAAATGACTTCCCCACTTTTTGAAATTCTGCTAATGACTTCTCAAATTCATCCCAGCTGAAGAAACGCCTTCCAAGTATGTATTCAGCAAAAATTCCACTTAAATCTGTGCTCCTGTCACTCGAATTGACTACCTGCAACGGACTAAAATAAAATTATCATTTAGGATCCATCTGTCACAAATATTCCAAGATAAATCGTAAAAAAACAACATTGAAATGCCGGGGTGATCGATAACTATCAAGAAAATACCGCACGTATAACCTAGATGACAGAAAAACACAAGAACCCACCGGTTCGTTGACATCGCAATCAACCGACAGACCAAACAACGAATTGTACGACAAGGAAGGCCTATTACATGCACAAACAAAGAAAAGCAAAGCGTTACAATAGTCTAATTCACGTTTATAGCAATCACATATGCTGGCAAACGACGCAAACACAACCGCGCAAAGACAGCACGCACCCAAGGACAATTCAAACTCCAATTGACCGCCACCATTCTTGCCATAGAAAGACGAAGAAACAGTCGCGGAAAATATAACACGCAGCCACGTATATCTTCACCCCTACAATATGATTTCATGAATATTTCAGGTCTAAATGTTGCAATTGCTCGTCTTCATTTCGCGTGGTTTTGCGTTATAGTGAATATATAATTGCTTCCCACAATATGGTGCATAACCATCCATGCAGCAGGGTGTACATGCAGAATGACCCATGGTATAGACGACTAGCAGTTGAAGAGAAAGAAAATATTGAACCTCTTCTTCAGCAATCCCACTCATCCGATGTAACAATAATGCATGTTAAGGAGAAGTACCACAAGGATATAACTCGCATTGACGTTAAAAATTTGAAAGCCGCAGTTAATAAAGGTAACGTTGACGTACTTGTTACATACCTAAGGTATTTCGAGTCGTCGTGACATTTTTGAATTCCTAAAATCCCGTGGGAAGTTAATGGAGTATTATTCCGATGAACCGATCAGGAATTCACTAACAAGAATTTGTTTTGCAACTTATGAGCAAATGGAATTGTATAAACAGTTCCCTGAAGTTGTTGGTATCGACTCGACGTATAATACAAATAAGGGGAAGTAAGTTTACCAATTCATTAATCAACGTGCAGGTATTCTTTGTTCCAGTTACTTGTGACGGATAATTTCGGTCGTGGACGACCAGTTTTATTTGCGTGGACTAGAAAAGAATTCAAACGAGATGTAGTTTGGATATTAGACTGTTTTCGTGGAATAATGGAAGACACCTCCAAAACAGAATCTTTCATTATGGATTGTGCGCAAGCTGAAATAGCAGCCGTCAAGTTAACGCACAGACAAGCGCACATTGTTTTGTGTTTTTTCCATGTTTCCAGTGCATTCTGTCGGAAAGTAAGCTTTTCAAAGCATACTTTACATTTTATTCGTAGACAAGAAATCCCATTGTGAAGAATTACTTATGCCGTCTAGTGCAGTGTAAAAGGAGATCAGAGTAATGCCTCTAATGTTCTCATTTTCCAGATTTAATTTCTACTTCAGAGTTATTAGCAGATTGGATGCTACTGTCAGTCAATATCTACAACGTCGTTGGATGCATCGACGAGAATTGTGGGCAGCATGTTTCAGAGACAACGTGCTGACTTTTGGGAATGATACAAATAATCGCGTCGAGAGTTCCCACAAGCAAATGAAACGTTACTTACAAAGATCAGATAGTTTGCATAAAAGTATGCTGAAGGTGTTTAAATGGTATCAACAAAGTTTTGCAAGGATACAGCAGGAGGCGACTATTGCTCAGTCGCAATGCTTCACCTATCCCTGTTCACAACGTCTACTCCCAATTATACGATTGCTGACGCCATACGCTGCGAGGAAGGTTATCCGTGAATACGAAAGGCGACGATGGGCTGTTGTTGAGGTTGAATCCTTCGATTATGTATTCTTCCAAGACAACGGGAATCGAGTGGAGGTGAATCTGAGTGCTTGCACCTGCACGTGCGTTACATTTCAGACCTGTCGGTACCCCTGCAGACACTTGCTTTTGGTCCATTTCGGAAAGCCATATTTCACAGGTATATTTGCGTTTTTATGACTCCGTTTTTAATATATGTCGACCGAAACTCGATTAATTATTGTTCTTCTATACGGAAAGTTGTAATTTTCATTACCGTATTCGTGTGTACAATGTCTTAACTGGAAACAGGACACAAGCACTACCATCATTGCACCTGTAATAATCAGTTCATAGTTATCTTAACGTTTTTTGTTCCACCTTTTGTAGTTAACCATGTGATGCATAATTGTAAACAATGGACGTGCTCACACAACTTGTTCGCATCTCAAAGTACGTCAGCAGTTATCCCTCCAAATCAACGTGACATATTCATTACCAAAAATAGGATTATCATTGCGGGCATGAAGAGACTTAGTGACAAATTTGGAGAAGTGTTTGCCAATACTTATGCAGACGGAGTAATCGCAGGAATCAATCGTGTTCTTAATATGTAAATAAACTAGATTTGTACAATAATGAAAATAAAATTTTCATGTAAATTTTGTTGTCTTTCAATTCATGTGTTCACTTTGTGAGCACGGCATGTTAGACCGGTGCTCTCTAGGACTTTAACTACTAACAATACGTAAGAGTAATTGTGTAGGAACGATGTCGGTCGTCATACGTGTTAAATTATAAGTATTTTAGTGAGGTTACGTGCATACGTCTCATTGTCATATACAAGTCTTTAGGGACAAATGACGATTACTAATGTTTCACTTAAAGCGTGATGTCAATCCATATGACTAAGGCTGTTGACATGTAGCGTAAATTAAAGTCTACACCAGACGAATTATTGAATTCGTTGAGCTTTAGCAATCGTATTTAGATTTAGCTTACACTAAAATATGCCACCAATTACTTCGTCAGTTCTTATTAATAAGTCATGTCTGCATCTAGTCATCATGACAAATATATCTGCACTCAGATATAGTAAGAAAGGTCTGGTAAGCAGGATATTAAATGTACTCACGTACTTTGAGATGAGAACAAGTTGTGTGAGCACGTCCATTGTTTACAATTATGCATCACATGGTTAACTACAAAAGGTGGAACAAAAAACGTTAAGATAACTATGAACTGATTATTACAGGTGCAATGATGGTAGTGCTTGTGTCCTGTTTCCAGTTAAGGCATCGTACACACGAATACGGTAATGAAAATTACAACTTTCCGTATAGAAGAACAATAATTAATCGAGTTTCGGTCGACATATATTAAAAACGGAGTCATAAAAACGCAAATATACCTGTGAAATATGGCTTTCTGAAATGGACCAAAAGCAAGTGTCTGCAGGGGTACCGACAGGTCTGAAATGTAACGCACGTGCAGGTGCAAGCACTCAGATTCACCTCCACTCGATTCCCGTTGTCTTGGAAGAATACATAATCGAAGGATTCAACCTCAACAACAGCCCATCGTCGCCTTTCGTATTCACGGATAACCTTCCTCGCAGCGTATGGCGTCAGCAATCGTATAATTGGGAGTAGACGTTGTGAACAGGGATAGGTGAAGCATTGCGACTGAGCAATAGTCGCCTCCTGCTGTATCCTTGCAAAACTTTGTTGATACCATTTAAACACCTTCAGCATACTTTTATGCAAACTATCTGATCTTTGTAAGTAACGTTTCATTTGCTTGTGGGAACTCTCGACGCGATTATTTGTATCATTCCCAAAAGTCAGCACGTTGTCTCTGAAACATGCTGCCCACAATTCTCGTCGATGCATCCAACGACGTTGTAGATATTGACTGACAGTAGCATCCAATCTGCTAATAACTCTGAAGTAGAAATTAAATCTGGAAAATGAGAACATTAGAGGCATTACTCTGATCTCCTTTTACACTGCACTAGACGGCATAAATAATTCTTCACAATGGGATTTCTTGTCTACGAATAAAATGTAAAGTATGCTTTGAAAAGCTTACTTTCCGACAGAATGCTCTGCAAACATGGAAAAAACACAAAACAATGTGCGCTTGTCTGTGCGTTAACTTGACGGCTGCTATTTCAGCTTGCGCACAATCCATAATGAAAGATTCTGTTTTGGAGGTGTCTTCCATTATTCCACGAAAACAGTCTAATATCCAAACTACATCTCGTTTGAATTCTTTTCTAGTCCACGCAAATAAAACTGGTCGTCCACGACCGAAATTATCCGTCACAAGTAACTGGAACAAAGAATACCTGCACGTTGATTAATGAATTGGTAAACTTACTTCCCCTTATTTGTATTATACGTCGAGTCGATACCAACAACTTCAGGGAACTGTTTATACAATTCCATTTGCTCATAAGTTGCAAAACAAATTCTTGTTAGTGAATTCCTGATCGGTTCATCGGAATAATACTCCATTAACTTCCCACGGGATTTTAGGAATTCAAAAATGTCACGACGACTCGAAATACCTTAGGTATGTAACAAGTACGTCAACGTTACCTTTATTAACTGCGGCTTTCAAATTTTTAACGTCAATGCGAGTTATATCCTTGTGGTACTTCTCCTTAACATGCATTATTGTTACATCGGATGAGTGGGATTGCTGAAGAAGAGGTTCAATATTTTCTTTCTCTTCAACTGCTAGTCGTCTATACCATGGGTCATTCTGCATGTACACCCTGCTGCATGGATGGTTATGCACCATATTGTGGGAAGCAATTATATATTCACTATAACGCAAAACCACGCGAAATGAAGACGAGCAATTGCAACATTTAGACCTGAAATATTCATGAAATCATATTACACTTCTTCTTACGACTTGTTTTTCAATTTCAATCCAGGTCTTGTACGATTCACTCCAAAAGTGCATTTAAAACCAACATAAGCGTACTTAAACCTGTCATCCGGTATCGTTTTGCTGCAATTATGAACATAGTGAGTGCAGGATAACTACATTGTTAGCATTAAATGACTTCCTCACTTTTTGAAATTCTGCTAATGACTTCTCAAATTCATCCCAGCTGAAGAAACGCCTTCCAAGTATGTATTCAGCAAAAATTCCACTTAAATCTGTGCTCCTGTCACTCGAATTGACTACCTGCAACGGACTAAAATAAAATTATCATTTAGGATCCATCTGTCACAAATATTCCAAGATAAATCGTAAAAAAACAACATTGAAATGCAGGGGTGATCGATAACTATCAAGAAAATACCGCACGTATAACCTAGATGACAGAAAAACACAAGAACCCACCGGTTCGTTGACATCGCAATCAACCGACAGACCAAACAACGAATTGTACGACAAGGAAGGCCTATTACATGCACAAACAAAGAAAAGCAAAGCGTTACAATAGTCTAATTCACGTTTATAGCAATCACATATGCTGGCAAACGACGCAAACACAACCGCGCAAAGACAGCACGCACCCAAGGACAATTCAAACTCCAATTGACCGCCACCATTCTTGCCATAGAAAGACGAAGAAACAGTCGCGGAAAATATAACACGCAGCCACGTATATCTTCACCCCTACAATATGATTTCATGAATATTTCAGGTCTAAATGTTGCAATTGCTCGTCTTCATTTCGCGTGGTTTTGCGTTATAGTGAATATATAATTGCTTCCCACAATATGGTGCATAACCATCCATGCAGCAGGGTGTACATGCAAAATGACCCATGGTATAGACGACTAGCAGTTGAAGAGAAAGAAAATATTGAACCTCTTCTTCAGCAATCCCACTCATCCGATGTAACAATAATGCATGTTAAGGAGAAGTACCACAAGGATATAACTCGCATTGACGTTAAAAATTTGAAAGCCGCAGTTAATAAAGGTAACGTTGACGTACTTGTTACATACCTAAGGTATTTCGAGTCGTCGTGACATTTTTGAATTCCTAAAATCCCGTGGGAAGTTAATGGAGTATTATTCCGATGAACCGATCAGGAATTCACTAACAAGAATTTGTTTTGCAACTTATGAGCAAATGGAATTGTATAAACAGTTCCCTGAAGTTGTTGGTATCGACTCGACGTATAATACAAATAAGGGGAAGTAAGTTTACCAATTCATTAATCAACGTGCAGGTATTCTTTGTTCCAGTTACTTGTGACGGATAATTTCGGTCGTGGACGACCAGTTTTATTTGCGTGGACTAGAAAAGAATTCAAACGAGATGTAGTTTGGATATTAGACTGTTTTCGTGGAATAATGGAAGACACCTCCAAAACAGAATCTTTCATTATGGATTGTGCGCAAGCTGAAATAGCAGCCGTCAAGTTAACGCACAGACAAGCGCACATTGTTTTGTGTTTTTTCCATGTTTGCAGAGCATTCTGTCGGAAAGTAAGCTTTTCAAAGCATACTTTACATTTTATTCGTAGACAAGAAATCCCATTGTGAAGAATTATTTATGCCGTCTAGTGCAGTGTAAAAGGAGATCAGAGTAATGCCTCTAATGTTCTCATTTTCCAGATTTAATTTCTACTTCAGAGTTATTAGCAGATTGGATGCTACTGTCAGTCAATATCTACAACGTCGTTGGATGCATCGACGAGAATTGTGGGCAGCATGTTTCAGAGACAACGTGCTGACTTTTGGGAATGATACAAATAATCGCGTCGAGAGTTCCCACAAGCAAATGAAACGTTACTTACAAAGATCAGATAGTTTGCATAAAAGTATGCTGAAGGTGTTTAAATGGTATCAACAAAGTTTTGCAAGGATACAGCAGGAGGCGACTATTGCTCAGTCGCAATGCTTCACCTATCCCTGTTCACAACGTCTACTCCCAATTATACGATTGCTGACGCCATACGCTGCGAGGAAGGTTATCCGTGAATACGAAAGGCGACGATGGGCTGTTGTTGAGGTTGAATCCTTCGATTATGTATTCTTCCAAGACAACGGGAATCGAGTGGAGGTGAATCTGAGTGCTTGCACCTGCACGTGCGTTACATTTCAGACCTGTCGGTACCCCTGCAGACACTTGCTTTTGGTCCATTTCAGAAAGCCATATTTCACAGGTATATTTGCGTTTTTATGACTCCGTTTTTAATATATGTCGACCGAAACTCGATTAATTATTGTTCTTCTATACGGAAAGTTGTAATTTTCATTACCGTATTCGTGTGTACGATGCCTTAACTGGAAACAGGACACAAGCACTACCATCATTGCACCTGTAATAATCAGTTCATAGTTATCTTAACGTTTTTTGTTCCACCTTTTGTAGTTAACCATGTGATGCATAATTGTAAACAATGGACGTGGTCACACAACTTGTTCGCATCTCAAAGTACGTCAGCAGTTATCCCTCCAAATCAACGTGACATATTCATTACCAAAAATAGGATTATCATTGCGGGCATGAAGAGACTTAGTGACAAATTTGGAGAAGTGTTTGCCAATACTTATGCAGACGGAGTAATCGCAGGAATCAATCGTGTTCTTAATATGTAAATAAACTAGATTTGTACAATAATGAAAATAAAATTTTCATGTAAATTTTGTTGTCTTTCAATTCATGTGTTCACTTTGTGAGCACGGCATGTTAGACCGGTGCTCTCTAGGACTTTAACTACTAACAATACGTAAGAGTAATTGTGTAGGAACGATGTCGGTCGTCATACGTGTTAAATTATAAGTATTTTAGTGAGGTTACGTGCATACGTCTCATTGTCATATACAAGTCTTTAGGGACAAATGACGATTACTAATGTTTCACTTAAAGCGTGATGTCAATCCATATGACTAAGGCTGTTGACATGTAGCGTAAATTAAAGTCTACACCAGACGAATTATTGAATTCGTTGAGCTTTAGCAATCGTATTTAGATTTAGCTTACACTAAAATATGCCACCAATTACTTCGTCAGTTCTTATTAATAAGTCATGTCTGCATCTAGTCATCATGACAAATATATCTGCACTCAGATATAGTAAGAAAGGTCTGGTAAGCAGGATATTAAATGTACTCACGTACTTTGAGATGAGAACAAGTTGTGTGAGCACGTCCATTGTTTACAATTATGCATCACATGGTTAACTACAAAAGGTGGAACAAAAAACGTTAAGATAACTATGAACTGATTATTACAGGTGCAATGATGGTAGTGCTTGTGTCCTGTTTCCAGTTAAGGCATCGTACACACGAATACGGTAATGAAAATTACAACTTTCCGTATAGAAGAACAATAATTAATCGAGTTTCGGTCGACATATATTAAAAACGGAGTCATAAAAACGCAAATATACCTGTGAAATATGGCTTTCTGAAATGGACCAAAAGCAAGTGTCTGCAGGGGTACCGACAGGTCTGAAATGTAACGCACGTGCAGGTGCAAGCACTCAGATTCACCTCCACTCGATTCCCGTTGTCTTGGAAGAATACATAATCGAAGGATTCAACCTCAACAACAGCCCATCGTCGCCTTTCGTATTCACGGATAACCTTCCTCGCAGCGTATGGCGTCAGCAATCGTATAATTGGGAGTAGACGTTGTGAACAGGGATAGGTGAAGCATTGCGACTGAGCAATAGTCGCCTCCTGCTGTATCCTTGCAAAACTTTGTTGATACCATTTAAACACCTTCAGCATACTTTTATGCAAACTATCTGATCTTTGTAAGTAACGTTTCATTTGCTTGTGGGAACTCTCGACGCGATTATTTGTATCATTCCCAAAAGTCAGCACGTTGTCTCTGAAACATGCTGCCCACAATTCTCGTCGATGCATCCAACGACGTTGTAGATATTGACTGACAGTAGCATCCAATCTGCTAATAACTCTGAAGTAGAAATTAAATCTGGAAAATGAGAACATTAGAGGCATTACTCTGATCTCCTTTTACACTGCACTAGACGGCATAAATAATTCTTCACAATGGGATTTCTTGTCTACGAATAAAATGTAAAGTATGCTTTGAAAAGCTTACTTTCCGACAGAATGCTCTGCAAACATGGAAAAAACACAAAACAATGTGCGCTTGTCTGTGCGTTAACTTGACGGCTGCTATTTCAGCTTGCGCACAATCCATAATGAAAGATTCTGTTTTGGAGGTGTCTTCCATTATTTCACGAAAACAGTCTAATATCCAAACTACATCTCGTTTGAATTCTTTTCTAGTCCACGCAAATAAAACTGGTCGTCCACGACCGAAATTATCCGTCACAAGTAACTGGAACAAAGAATACCTGCACGTTGATTAATGAATTGGTAAACTTACTTCCCCTTATTTGTATTATACGTCGAGTCGATACCAACAACTTCAGGGAACTGTTTATACAATTCCATTTGCTCATAAGTTGCAAAACAAATTCTTGTTAGTGAATTCCTGATCGGTTCATCGGAATAATACTCCATTAACTTCCCACGGGATTTTAGGAATTCAAAAATGTCACGACGACTCGAAATACCTTAGGTATGTAACAAGTACGTCAACGTTACCTTTATTAACTGCGGCTTTCAAATTTTTAACGTCAATGCGAGTTATATCCTTGTGGTACTTCTCCTTAACATGCATTATTATTACATCGGATGAGTGGGATTGCTGAAGAAGAGGTTCAATATTTTCTTTCTCTTCAACTGCTAGTCGTCTATACCATGGGTCATTCTGCATGTACACCCTGCTGCATGGATGGTTATGCACCATATTGTGGGAAGCAATTATATATTCACTATAACGCAAAACCACGCGAAATGAAGACGAGCAATTGCAACATTTAGACCTGAAATATTCATGAAATCATATTACACTTCTTCTTACGACTTGTTTTTCAATTTCAATCCAGGTCTTGTACGATTCACTCCAAAAGTGCATTTAAAACCAACATAAGCGTACTTAAACCTGTCATCCGGTATCGTTTTGCTGCAATTATGAACATAGTGAGTGCAGGATAACTACATTGTTAGCATTAAATGACTTCCTCACTTTTTGAAATTCTGCTAATGACTTCTCAAATTCATCCCAGCTGAAGAAACGCCTTCCAAGTATGTATTCAGCAAAAATTCCACTTAAATCTGTGCTCCTGTCACTCGAATTGACTACCTGCAACGGACTAAAATAAAATTATCATTTAGGATCCATCTATGTCACAAATATTCCAAGATAAATCGTAAAAAAACAACATTGAAATGCAGGGGTGATCGATAACTATCAAGAAAATACCGCACGTATAACCTAGATGACAGAAAAACACAAGAACCCACCGGTTCGTTGACATCGCAATCAACCGACAGACCAAACAACGAATTGTACGACAAGGAAGGCCTATTACATGCACAAACAAAGAAAAGCAAAGCGTTACAATAGTCTAATTCACGTTTATAGCAATCACATATGCTGGCAAACGACGCAAACACAACCGCGCAAAGACAGCACGCATCCAAGGACAATTCAAACTCCAATTGACCGCCACCATTCTTGCCATAGAAAGACGAAGAAACAGTCGCGGAAAATATAACACGCAGCCACGTATATCTTCACCCCTACAATACACATTCGTACTCTTCGCAAGTGCTTTTTGATTTACGTTGTGGGCGTCGAGTAGCCACAACGTTCTTGATCTTCGGTAAACTTCTGCGTAGCTTGTCCCACCACTCGACTGTCGTAGCTTTGGTTGACTCCAAAGGAGTAGTGCTGGGATTAATTATATGTGGTTTGTAGTATGAGGTATGTTAAGACTGTTACTACTGTCATTGGAGTTGATCCTTTCGCCAGTTAGTCCTTCGGTATTGTCGACAAGAGAAAAGAGATAGTATTAATAATAATAACAATAGTAATAATAATAATAATAATAGATATAATTAGTGAAGCTATTCAGACTAAGAGACAGAAACGAAAATAGGAAACGTAACAACAGTCAGCTCATTAAGTTTGAAGAATAATATATATATCGGTAATGGTAATAATAATAATAGTAATTATAATATTAATAAGTTGTCAGGAGAGTAAGACGGGAGAGAATGTAAAGAAGTAAGGTGACGAGTTTAATTATCTACCCTGATTGGTAAATGCGATTTTAAGGAGATAGGCCATTTGGATGCAGTCCTTGTATCGCTGCATGGTTGTCCAGCCTTCGCTTAAAGGCGTCCGAAGACGGTGCCATAGCTACATCTGCCGGTAAGGAATTCCAGTGACGACAAACCCTCAGTGAAAAGAAGTGGGAGCGCACCCGGGTCCTTGCCCTCTGGTGAGCTATCCTTCTGGGATTTCCACGTGGAAGCCTATACCTACTCAATGGCAGAACACCTTTGTTTGGGTGATTCTGGTCATTTGTTATTTTGTAGGCAGTAATCAAATCCCCCATAAGCCGACGGTAACTAAGTGTGAACAGCCTCTATAGCGCCAATAAACCTGGATATCTATGATATAACGAAAACATGCTGAAAGCTGCATCTCAGAT